TAAATACTGATTGATTTATTTTTTGTGGATTATCAACTCTTTAGAGGTTATTTAAATTCAGAAAATATTTTAGATTGTGAGAATTTTCTTTTTTTAGATAAGGAATAAGACTTATATCACTAAAGCATTAACCCATAGCTAGGGGGAGAAGAGGTAGATTCATACTTTCCCCCAAGGGTATTTGCACATAAGTGAATATAACAAACCCAACTGGAATGGAAACTTGGCTCTTTGATTAACAATTCCAAGCCATTATCCATTACACCAGCCACACGTCCAAGCACCTGGTATTCCCATCTAAGTACTGACCAGGCTTGACATTGCTTAACTTTGATGATGATATGGCTGTAAGCCAACAATGCAGGCTGTTTGTTAAAATTAAGCTACATAAAATATCTACAATGATGGGGGTGGCTGACCCCCCCCCCCACTTTTGCTGAAACTGTGAACTAAAGAGAGGCTAAAAATTGTCCTCTATCTATGACAATGCTATTGAGCTGAGCTGAATCATTTGTCTAAAATCATCACTGCCATTAATTTTCATAATAAATGCTTCATTTTCCATTCCTGCCCTGCAAAAAAAAATATTAACTTCTATAAAAATTTTAGAAGTCTTAAATGCAGAAAAAAACCTTTATAAATCTCGTTTCAGAAAATAAGTAAAAGCAAAAAACAAAATATGTGTATTTAAAATATATAAAAAAAAATTCAGAAGATCAAATAAAAAAAAAAAACATGGAATCAAGAATCCAATTTAGGTCTCATCAATTTTTATTCTTTGGCACCCTACTTACATATGATTAAACTCTTATACCGTTTTATTACCCCCCCCCAAAAGACCAACTTAACTATACATCAATGGAAAGTCAATTTACAACAGAAATTGCTGCCAAGAAAAAAAACAATATATCATATATTCAATGGCATAGCTTAACCTGAGGTCACAGTAGTACAGGTAGCTGAATATGAACAGGTATATAATCAGGTGACTCAGTATTAGCAGCAGAACAGTGTTAAAAGCATCCATGCTGCCCATTTGTCTAAAGGTGGTTAAATGAAATAGAAACTTGAATTGTTCAGCTTCTAATTCTCTTTCCAACTGACCTTTTGAATAAAGCAAAAATCTCTCAACCAAAAATGGAACCAGAATTGTGTATTTCAGTATTTAGATGAAGAAGCCTATAAAGATAAAATGTTATATTACGATGGCATTATCCCAAGCATTAGTTTAGACACCGTTACCATTTCATAACCTCATTATGTCATTAAAAATTATGATATCTGTCACAGTTCCCTTCCAATACAAAATAACATAAAGAGAGAAAATGTTCCATTGTAGAACATAACAAATATAAAGTGTTGATCCTGGAGTCTCAGAAATTGGTCAGCTGGTAAAAATTTATGAGATCAAGAATTCAAAACACAGCCAATGCTGTAGGCATTATCTTAAATTTTAGGGGCATTTGAAAATTCTTCCTTTTGTCATCAACAGTTGTATACAAAAATGCATAAATGGTTAGAAAACAATTATAAAAGATTAAATTTATTATACCTATTATTTGATGCCAAAAAAGAAAAAATAAATCATACACACACACACACTAACTCATTAGTAACTTATGCAGCAAGTTTTGTTTTCACTTCAACCATCTAAGAATATGAAGAGAATGGTCTGATATAGGCTAAATGCAGAAAAAATATTTATATACTTCTGTCATTGATCTTAAATTTCATTTAAAATAAAATAATTATCGACAAAGACATTTGGATTGATCCAGTTTGAGCATGAAACCACAATAGTGGAATATTACAGTGAGGAGTGATTCTCAAACAAAGGCCCGTTTTGTTTGATATTTACAAAGATACATTTCATAAAGCTAAATTTGTATTACAATTTAGAAATATTCCTACACAACATACAAAAAAATACTACAATATATATAAATGCATAACCAATCTTAAGTTTTCACCTCTATTCCCAAAAGCCAATTAAAATAAGAGGAAAATATTTCCCCTCATGTTTCATAGTTCTGTAAGAAAGACAAACTAAAAACATAATAAAATAATATTCAAAAACTGAATTCAGTAATTAGAACATCATCATGCCTTGCTTTCTGACTTCTGTTTTGATAGAGGTTTAGAAAAGGCACTTGAACTAGAAAGCATATTTTTTTTTCAAATAACAGTAGAGTGTAAATATGGAAAAAAAAAAAAAATTTTAATTTTGTAAAAGTTAATAGGGACTTTAGTTTGCTATATAAATTCATTGTAAATTAAATGACTCCCCCAGCAACAACAACAAAAAAAAATACTCTCTCCTGCAAAAAAAGCATTTAATCATTTTGCAAATTTTTTTCATGTCAGTCAGTTATGTACCATGCATGATACACACATAGGTGATCATGTATCTTTTGATACATTGCAGATGAGGCAGATTTTTCCCGCAGTAGGTTGCCATTTCTTTCTGCAGTAGACCAGTTGCCATCAAAGGCTACAGAACTCGGTCTGTCCTGCTGTTTGTAGTGTACACTAGATATTAGGCAAACAGTAAGCACATGTCACAGACTGGTATGACATTAACTTATACATGCAATTCGAGTAGAAAGGAATTATGTATACTCATCTGTACAAGAAAGTACAGTAAGCCTCCGCCCTATGACAGTCCCAAGCTACAAAGTAATCTCCATTAATTTTTCAATTTATGCTGTTTATCTTGTGCATAAAGCAGTGTGTGTCAATTCCTGATGGCATGCCATATTGGATTGTTGTGCATTCACTCTCTTTCATTTGTGTTGTGTTTGTGGAAATCTATTGCCTTTCATTGTGCCTTCCAAGCATAGTATAACTTCTGATGGCAGTGCCTTGAAGAAAAGGAAAGCCATCACCATATAAGTGAAATTAGATATTGTTAAATGCTCTGAAAAAGGTAGAAACAATGACAGACATTGGCTGGTTGCTTGACTTAAATCATTCAGGCTGTCGCTTAAAACATGTACATATGTGTATACATATTGAGTTTCCTTGTAAGAGATAAGGATATTTTCTTGTTAAACTATAAGTTGGTGAATTCTCAATAAAAAAAGAAAAACAAAATCATGTTTGTTTTTCTTTCTTCCTCAAACTTGCTGCTGCTTCCAAGTACTGCAAGAGAGACAGGATTTCATGTTTTGTTATCTCATCTACTAAAAGCCAATGACATCACTGGCAATAAATATACAAGCAGCTTAAATCAATTTCATTATGTATTATTTTCATTTCACTAAATTTATGTCCTCCAGATGTTTTCATCTTAATTGTTAACATGTCATAGAAATGTGTTACATCCTAGAATACATTAGTATAGGTGAGTGACATAAGTACTTATTCACAGAAAGTTGCGGGTATGTTCTGACTTACACAGAAAATCATGTTATGATGGATCATAAGAATGGAACTGTCATAAGTTGAGGATGTCCTGTACTTAATATAAACAAAAGAGACAGAATTACAAGTAAAAAAAAAAAAAAAAAAAATTCTAAAACATTTAGCAATTTTTTAAGAAAAAAGCTCAATTGTTTTTAGTTTAGTAATGTTTTTATTCTGTTGAGCTATCTCGGACATTCATGAGTATCACGTCAACTATGATGGTCCTGTATCAAGATCAGAAACTCATTAGGGTGGCATTCTGTGCCATAACATAGCTGGTCAGTGTACATGGTTGCTTGGTGAGCAGCCCATTTTGCAGTGTCCAGAGCTATAGATCACTCACAAGTTCTCATTTTGGTTGCCACCAGTGTCCCACAAAATGCATTCTACATTCGCATAAGACTGTAGAAATATCAGATATAGAGCTGTGATTTAGTTGGATGTTATCTCTAAAAGATGTTAAGTATAGCTCTCAACATCCACATGTAGGTTCCATCAAGCTTTGACTGTACGGATTTAGTTAATGTCTTGGTAGTGCCACCACACATTAGTACCACCTCTACAGTGACTCAAAAGAATTTCCATTTGAGGAATGCCATTAAGAAATGAAACTGAAGTTATATAACATAGGAAAGAAAATGAATTATCTCAAAGGCTATGCATAGTCCAAGCCTAACTTTAGGAAAAAATAAATTCAAAGGCCCTTGAAATTAAATCACCACTTACAAACATAAAATATTTAAGCATTTGGTAAGTTGTACTTCGGACATAAATGTCAAAAATATAAATTTTTTGTACATAAATTCAGGATTATTTACAATTTAGGCAGTGTACATACACAGGTCAAACAAAAAAAAAAAACTTGATATAGTGAATAAGACATTTCACACGTTCTAATATCTATGCATATCTTGATATATGATCCTAGATTAGAAAAAAGTGTGCAGGTACATTTGTGTAATAGTAAGCAAAATGAGAAAAGAAAACAAAGTTGAAATTCCTGTATGCAGGTACCTATGATAGCATAACATAATGCCAGTCTATGATAGACATTCAGAAGGTACATGTTTTGCACAAACAAATGTGGTCTGAAATGAAAGTGTTTATCTTGGATTTTTTTTTTTTGTTTTTATACCGCTAAAATTGCAGATTTTTCCTGTGGTTTCTCTTTTGAGATTAATTCATTCTCAGTAAAGTTCTTGGGACGGTTAACCACGGGATTCCTTGTGTACAGGAGTGTTGCTAGAGTCACTATAACTATTGATACTACTGTATAGCTGTCAATTGGAATACCAAAGATAATCCAACAGAGAATGGCAGTGAACATTAGTTCCAGCGCACTGGCAAACGTCTTCAAGATTGAGTTGAGGTAGTGCAAGAATAGGCTGACAATTATGCCAATGCTGGCATTATTCATCATGATCAGGATTACTTTCAGTTGAAATATAGACAAGAGACTGGACTTTGTGAAAGTTTCCACAATCTGACCCTTGAATATAAGCAAGGCAGCATTGCACAATATTGATTGAACATACATGAAGATATTCTGCACCATTATATGCACATTGCATGCTTTGTCCTTAAGTAAGTACTCGTTATAGACACCAGCAAAACAAGAAGAGAACACTTGAATGATAATGAAAAACAATGGAAAACCAATGAGATTGGCTGAATTGTTTGCGGAGCTGAGACTCTGGTTGGCTATAGGAATGGAATTAGTGGTGCTGTCATAAGACACTTTTGTGTATTTGATGTGGCCTAACTCTTTAAGGATACAACCACAGGTAAGCAAACAAATAGAGGCCCATTGGATAAAACTCAGCTGCTTTTTGAAGAGGATCTAGAAAAAAAAACAAAACAAAGTTGTTAGAAACATATTCAAAACGCTCTTATTGTCTCCTCCCCTTAAAAAGAAAAAAGAATTGGGGTGAGGCACATAGGATATCCCATGGAATATTCTTAACTTGTCTGGGATCCTGTTCGCAGTGCCATGTAGAAAAATCACGTGGTCGAGATAAACACTCAGTTGTGGAGCAAGCTAAGTGAACGATAATTCAACCTTGAGAAAGAGCTATTTATGGTGCCATGGAGCATCTCATTGTGCTAAAGTAGGATAGTACATTGCTTGGGCTGTGATTGGCTGCTGGTACCTGAGCAGAGGTATTTCTATATAAATACCAGCTTGATTCATCAGTTAGTTTTCAGGGTTTGTATTAAGTTACAACCTGCTTTATTTTTGTCTGCGAGCTGGACGCTAGCTTGGACCCTTATGCTGGTAAGTGCTGTTTATTGTATTGTTATTCTACAAGGATCTATCCCTAATGTCAAACATCAATCCCCACCCATGTCAAATATTAGGGATTTTACTGAACCACCACCATAACTAAATAATAATTATTGATAAGAGTGGGTCTGCATACTCCAACTGTACACTTGGGAGAGTGATTTTTACCCAAGCACTCATATTTTATAAACAATAGTAGAAGAGAGGTTTGCTTATCATCCAGTTTACACTCCTCTCTGGGCTTTTGAACAGGAGTAGAGGTTTATCACTCATTTCCTGTTTAGGATTGTATTTCCGGTTCATTCTAAAGCATTTTCTTTCACTTTTACTAGCTCCCATGAATCTTAGCAGCATCATTGCTGTTGTGGAGTGATTTCACAGTGGAGGCTTGTATTTGTACTAAGTCGGTCCTAAAATAGGTTTGACGTACAAAATGTTAGGAACTTGATATAATAGGTATAATGCAGAGTGATCTAGGTGTGGTCGATTATACTTTAGTATTTGACTAACTGTCGTCCAACATTGACTGACTCACTGACCGACTGACTCATTCGTTACTCTTACTATTCCTACTTATTATAGGTGGGAGAGTCTATTAACTATAGAATAGGTGTGTTCCCCTATAACAATTGCCTTGCTTTGGGTGAATTGATTACAAAAAAAAACTTTTGTAATATTATCAAGGAATCTGGCAATGGAACAGTGCAGGGAGAAATAAATTCATGCCTTTCCAGAGAACATGGATACAAAATGAATAGCTTCAGATTTTGTGTAAGATTCCTAATTACAGGAAAAAATATACAAACACTAACATTATCCATTTTATTTTTTAATATTAATTTGAAAAACTCGTTTCCACATACCATAAAGCAACAATATTTAAATAATTTTGCAACTGTGTTTGTGATATTTTCTGCAGTAGTAATCTATGACTTATCTATACAAATCTCTATTGTCAGAGATAAGGAAAAAAATTTTTCTAATTCATTACTCTATTGTTAGAGATAAGGAAAAAAATTTTTCTAATTCATTAAAAGTAAAACAAGAAAGCCAAAAAACATAATATCCAAAGAAAGCTAATATAAGATTAAATAAAAAGTAATCTATTAACAACCTGATTTATCCTAAATGCACATTGCCATAATAAAGTGTGCTCCAATAACTTGGACCAATTTTAAATGTGAATTAAGTTTAAGCATCTAATGATTTTTTTTCTTTTTCTTTCAGATTTAACAACTTAAGTCTTTGGCAATTTCAACCATGGTAAGATTAACAATCAAACAACATGTTAAAGTTATCAAAGCCTATTATGAAAATGGACATTCAAACAGAAATGCATTTTGTGATTTTTTTGGTCAACATAATCGACCAACTGATTGTGCAATTGGAAATGATGTAACATTGTTGTGGAGAGGTTCAGTTCCTGCATGCGATGATGAATAGAGGGGTCTGGATTTTTGGCCACATTCTCATGCACTGCAGCAATGTTGTCAGCTGAACGACCTAAACAAGCACCGAATGGTGTTTTCACATCTGCCACTGACCCAGTTTGTTTGAATTTACGAACAATTTTTCCAATTGCACTCTTAAGACTAACACATTATTTGATTGTTAATTTTTTCCATGGTTGAAATTGCCAAAGACTTAAATTTTTAAATCTGAAAGAAAAAAAAAATCATTAGACACTTAAAATTAATTCACATTTAAAATTGGTCCAAGTTATTGGAACACCCTTTACTTGCATATCTCATTAGTAGTGAGGATCAGGCTACATGACATAAAAACCTACATTCTGTTTGATATCAAATAAATGGTAAACTTGGATCTTCATGCTTGCAGGAAAAAAAAAAAAATGGGGTATCAAAAGGATGGTTTTTCTCTTGACACTGCTATTATTTTAACTACCTTCATTGCTCGTCATTGTTATTTTAAAAAAATGATTAAAATTGTAATAAAACAAACATGAAATTGAATTTATACATTTTCTTTATTCTTGAGAATTGACAACAAAAATAATAAACACTATTATATTGTTTATTTATACTTTATATTATTTATTGGAATGGTTAGCAAAACATCGGCTAATTGCCAATTGATTCAAACTTTATAAAATGGTAAATAATAAGGATTTCTTTATATCTAGTTCACATATTTTAATCATTTAATAAATATTTATAAATTCATGAATAAAAAACTCTTTACCAATTTCACTCAATCATTTATGTACCCTGCATGATACAGGCTTAGGCAATCATGTATCTTTTGATACATGACTGACAAGGCAGATTTTTTTTCCCTGCAGTAGGTTGCCATTTCTTTCTGCAGTAGACCAGTTACCATTCAAGGTTATAGAACCCATATTATTTACTCATAGCTGGGGGGGGGGGAGAGAAAAAAGTGGATTTATACCTTTCCCAAGGGTATTAGCACGTAAGTGAATGTAATGGATTTAACTGGAATTCGAACTCGGCTCTCCGATTCTTCAATCCAAGCTGCTATCCATTACTCCACTGTGCTTTCCTATTTTATAAAGAAATAAATATGAAAATGATAAATATTGCATTAGTTTTTAGAATATTGTAAATATACAATCTAATAAATAGTGTTTAATATTTTTTATCAGTTCTCAAGAACAAAATCAAAATGTATAAATTCCCTTTCATAATATGTTTAGGTTTTATTACAATTCTAATCATCACTTTCAAAACTGTAGAGTAATTGGCCATGATTACATTCAATTGGCAGAAATGCCCAAGAAACAGAATTCATAAAGTTTGCAATAAAAAATAACAAGAGAAAGGAAAGAACAGGGCCAAAAATATATTGAACAAACAATATATGCAAGGCAAAGCTACAGTAATAAAGTAAAAATTCACAAATTAAGAAACATGTTAACACACAAAAAGGATACAGGCAAGTGATTACAGTGTTCCCACTTCAAGAACAGAAACATATTGGACAAGACCAAAAAGAAATCCCAGCATTCATCTGTATGTGTGGTCTATAAATATGAGGGAGAGTGATGTTTTTGCAGTCATCCCCATGAATTGGAACCAACATTGCTGAGGAGTAAAGGTAGTTAAAATAATAGTGGTGTCAAGGGAAAAACCAACCTTTTGACACAGATTTTTTTGTTTTTCAGGTTCAAGTTTGCCAAATAGATTATTAAAATAATGCAGATATTTTAAATGTAATTTAAAATTGTTTTAGTCAAAGAAATGATTGCATACCTGAAAAACTATACCTGTAACAACAACTCTGAACTGCAGCAAAACATAATATGTTGTAGGGTCATATGTTGCCAAGTTGACAAACTGCAAGTTGTTGTAAAGACTGTAAAGTGCAGCTGGGACAATGTACATGACAAACACTGCAAATAGAAAAAAAAAAAAGGATGAAAAGTTGTCTATTTATTTTTTTCTTTAAATGGAAATTAATTCAGTAAAAGATTATATAAAGGTACAACTTTTCAAGCAAGTTTGTAAATACTGATCTTTCTTAGATCTTAAACTTGAGAAAAAATACCATAGTTTCCATGCTATAGTCTGCACCTGTATATAACCCGCACTCCTATAAATTTAACTATCTGGACATAACTGGCTTGACGCTGGTGACCGGTTTTTGTGAAGCTAACCCCAGCCACATAAGTTTTGAAGACACAATTCGTATATAATCCACACCCTACATATTTCAAGAAAAAAGTCACAGGTTATAGTCTGGAAAATATAGTAAACAATAAATGAATTAACCAACTTGTCTGCAAATCAACCAAGGCATCTCCTAGATTTACATAGAAAATTTAACGGTTTTCCTATTTCAATTTTCTGATGATATTTATCTTGTTCTTAATTTATTAATTGAATAAGACTATAAAATACACAGAGAAATTCCTTTATTGTAGTGTTAAATATTTGAGCTTAATTTTAATAAAATATTGCAATAACTGTAAGTATGAAGGTAGGACATTAAGAAATAAAAAGGTGCAAAGGAAAAGATACAAAACTGATGTTTTCCATTTGACTAAAGCATAATAAGGTCATTGCATTCTCTATCTTCCCATATTTTTTCTTATGTATATTTTCTTTTTCTCACTGAAACTAAAGAATGTCTGTTAGGTTACTCTTCTATCTCTCCTTGCAATCCAAGGTAATAGTTAATTAGCACATGTCATATTCTGCTAAGAAATATGCAGAATTATGGATCTTGAGTTACACTTACTATATGGCCTTTTCCGTTGATGGTGACGGTCAGCAACGAAAAATAAGTTATCCTAAAACACAACACCACTCATGTCTAAAACAACCAATATGAGGTTGACACAGCTTTTGACAATGACCACAGTAGTAGAATACTGTGGGATCATCCACCATGGAGCATTTGCTTCTTTGTCTAACCTCTATGGTACAATGGACTCTATACTTTTCTAGGCTTTCCACTCTACTTGATCCTGAGCAACCACATCCCAGTTCACAATATTGATAGAAAATACCATCATGGACATTTTACACTGGTCCTTGAAGCATAGCTTGGGTTATCCAACATTATGCATGCCCTCAGACAGTTTCTCATACAGTTTGAGAATTCTGCGCACAAATGGAAGATGGAATATAGTGACTGAATGCCAGCTCTTTTGAGCACTTCTGTATCCAGGACTATATTGCCATTTAATTTTTAAAATATTTCTCAACATCTCATGTGAAAACTATTTAACCTCCTCTCCTGACTAGCATCCAAGGTCCACATCTCCCTCCCATAAAGGAGTGTTGAGAGGATGAATGTTTGATCAATTAGAGTCTTGGTTTTTATCCTAAGTTTATCACTTTCCCTTGCTCTTTTCATAAGTTTCCTGAATGCAGCTGTGAAAACCTACTAGTGTTGAAGTTATATGACAAGAGACTCGACTATGGTGGGCAAAAGCTGGCTACCAAAATCCAAGAACGATATCTGGCAGCAAGGCTTCTGACCAGGAGATGGGTGGTTTTGAGAAGCATGGAATCACCTCTTAATTGCTGTTGTTCCCAGGTTGATCTTGATCCAGAGTGGTAGCATCTGTTAGGGTCCCCACTATGGGCTAATAGTGACCCCCCAAAAAAAATCAACAGGTCATTTTTATAACAAAATAACAATCAATACAACACTAAAAAAAAGTATAAGAATATAAGCATATTTTATAAAAACATTACCAACAATACATTTTATGATCTACAAACTACCCTGAAAATATAAAATTATGTACTTAATATTTCAATGTCAGCATTAAATAACACAGAGGTTGACAGTCACTAAACAAAATCAACCAAACAAAATCCAAGACATTATGAATACCATATATTCAAAGAAATTTAATGTACTGCCATTATCTGGAAATTTGGTATTTTTGTATTAAAATATTTTCAGTGAAACAAAAACACCTGCATTTTTAATTGGTTATATTCTCATATCCAATATGCCTGTTATGGGGATGAATCATAAGGTTGTATTTAGGAATGTACCAAGTAGGGTGTACCATGGGTGCTGTGATTCTCATATGATCACCAAAGTTAAGCAACATCGAGCTAGATCAGTACCTAGATGAATGACTGTTTTGGAATACCAAGTGTTGTAAACTTGAGTATGCATGTGGTATAATAGATAATGACTCACAATTGGAAAGCAAAGTTCATTACATTCACTTATATGCAAATACTCTTAGGAAAAGGTATGAATCCACCTCTTCTCCCCCTGATTATGGGTTAATTCGTAGGACATATCAGGAAATCATTATTATCTCAAAAAAATTCTTACAGTATAAAAGATATTTTCTGGCTGTAAATGACCTGCTAAAGGTTGATAAGGCATAACAAATAGAAAAAATGCAAGAGTTTGATTCTAAAATTTTAGTAAATACCTGAGTGCTAAAATGGTGGTACCTAAAGCGTATGATACCTTGTTATGGGGTCACTTTTCCTTTCACCTAGTTTCATCTACACCCTTCCACAAAGAAAACCTTGGCCTTTTTTTTTTTTTTTTTTTGCATTTATTAAAAAAAAAAAAAAAAAAAAAAAAATGTTTAAATTGAAATTTTTGCTATAATACTTTCAAAATTCGAAATGGACACCATTTAAGTACTAAAACTCATAACATCTTCGACTTTGGTACTACTCTGAGCTTACTATAATCTATACTACAAGATTGTACATAAACAGTAAGATATTGAGAAAATCAGACAGGGAAAATAACTGCTTAAAATATACAATTGTGCCTCCTACACTTTTGGGATTGGTATAGCGTCACATTCCTTTCATCCAGTTGAATCTATAACATTCCACAAAGAAAACCTTGCCTTTTTTTTATTTTTTTTATTTATTTATTTGAGTGTGTAAATTGAGAAATGAAGCAATATTAATCCTGATCACTACTCAAATTGACTGCCAAAGATTGTTGTTTTTTTTTTGTTTTTTTTTTACAGTGAGGTTCACCCTGTACAAGGCCTGGGGGCCACTTGGGGTAGAGGGTTACAGAGTAAGAGGCAGTTTGTTCTGATAGGAAAGGAAGATAATGGTTAACCCTACACTTGAACAGGTTAAGATTGTAGTGATCAGGTGTTTGGGTGAAGCATCCTCTTGGGAGTTGGTTCCATAGTAGCTTGTGGAAAGAAGCTGTTCAAGTGGAACTTACTTCTCACCAATTGAATACAGAGAGAATGTGGGTGGTTTGTTACAATTTGGGTTTCTTTGTTTAGCAGTATATCAACATCCTCATGGGTCATTTAATGCCAAATTTTAATTTTCCTGGGAGTATTAATAATCTCATGTATTTTTTTTCAAAAAATGTATTGCTGGTACTTTTTACTGTGAAAATGTATTTTTATACTTTAATAGTGTTTTGATTCCAGTTGGCCTTGCTGCCAAATGTAGTTTATTATTATACCCAGGACATTTGTTACAATCTGAGTGGCATGGTGGGTCCTAGCCATGAAGGTTAGAACTGGTTGAATCAAAGAACAGGTGCTGTAAGCTATGTGACAGATCTAAGCAACTTATATTAATAGAAGACCTTGATATGTGAAGGTGCTTCTGGACTGACAAGCCACAAGACTTATCTGGAGTCGGGAGAGAACCTACAGTGAATACATTTCCTTTATTTTGATTGACAAACAACAAGAATTAAAAACTTAGTACACATACATCAAAATACATTCAAAATTTTAAGTGGACACAACCACATTACCAAACCACATATCTTAGATTTTGGTTCTGGGTCCCCACTGAGGTGAGTCATATGACAAAAATGGAATTCCTGTTTGGAGGACTAGCCTTTAGCTGAAGGATAACTGGAGACCCCACTAGAGCAATACAAGGTCTGCTTGAAAATAAATTTTCTGTGGTGTCAACAGTAGGAAAGAGGTACTCAACATAAAATTTATTGCACAATGTCTCTTGAAGAGGTGTGCATCCAGGAGAAGACTCAAAGCCCTTTGCTGAGGCAAGCCACAAATTTTCTAGTCTTTGTGGAAGATGTATATATTCTTGCATAGGCCTAGCTAACTTCCTATGAACCTGTAACATACTGAAGACCATCCTAAATTTCCATTCACAAAATTGAACCACAATGACAGCCTCATTCTTATAGGGGATGTAGTTCAAAGTCGATATTTGGATGACCTTAAGAGCACATCCTTTTCCTTTTTTATAATGAACTTAATCAAAAGCAACAAACATGATCAAGCTGATGCAAATTACTATTTTTTTTTTAAATAAAAGAATATACTGCAAATATTATATTTTATATTAATATTAAAATCAATAATAAAAGAGACAAGGATCTCAGTAATGAAAAACCAAAAAAACTGTATACCAGTTGTTCTTAACCATTTTTGAGTTACAAACCCCTACAGGAACTAGCCCTTTATAGACAGACAAGCAGATACTTACAATCTGATTGGTTTTTCACACCACTTGTACAATTATTTCTCCATACTGTACACTACACACACATCAATTTTCCATGCTTGAAAGAGATTGTGGTCAATTTATCCTCACCAGTATATGGGAAGATAATCAAGCTGTGATAAACCATGAAAAATAGCAATTACCACTTGCTCTTATGAACTGGCAAAATATGACAGTCATGCAGAGAATGATGGCACATGTTTAAATGGTAAACATGGACCCAACAACAAGTCAAGAGATGCCTAGAGGTTGGCACTATAAGTAGTGGCTGGGTGCATTTTCTTTCAATGGGAAACCAGTGACTGGAACAAGGGCTTTATAACAAATATATTAATTTTTATCTGATCCTCATGGATACCCTGACCCCATCCATGGACCCCAGGTTAAAAAAACCCTGCTGTATACTGATATGACAGTTGTCACAATGTAATCGAAAACAATCTTTTTGAATGAAGTTAGTTAAAGCTATGGATATACATGGAGTGTAAGGATTATCAACATGGAATATGAGTTTGTTGTTCAGAGTTCAAATTCAAGCTAAGGCAGTTGCCTTTGTGCCCTTGGGGAAAGATATATGAATACATCTCTTCACCCTCAGCTAGGTTCTGTAAGTTGGGTTGGCAACCAGTCAAGAAGGAGAATTCTGAATTCAAAACCAGTTGGGTGTGAGATTTACAACTCCTTCATATAAGCCTAATTGCTATGGAAACCACATCAGCAACATTTAACATGGAGAGGCTGTAGCTGTATGTTTCCCAGAGAAGTCTACAAGAGTTAACATACAATATATACAAAATTAAATGCTCCTAAAATCTCTTGTCCTAACCCAATAGATCATTCATTTTATTCAGTTAGCACTGTTGTGGTCGGCACTTCCCTCCATCTTCCAATTGTGGTACATGGCAACATTCAAAGCAGAATAGTGCAATGGCTTGATAGTTCCCCATTCTGCACTGGGGACATTGAGGTTGCCCCCTTCTCTCCTTTCTTTGCTTTTGGATTTACCTTCTTTTAGCTTTTGCCTAAAGAGGCAGGACCTGCAAGGCAGCAGGTGGTTTAAATTCAGTTTCCTTCTTCCTGACTGGTAGCCACCCAAGGTTATAGGACCCTGTATGCTTTGCTATTTTACCCATAGCTGAAGGGAGAAGAGATGGATTCATAACTTTTCCAAAGTTATTAGCATGTAAGTGAATGTAATGAACTCGACTGGAATTCAAACTCAGCTCTCTGATTTCTCAATCCGAGCTGCTAACCATTACTCTATAACCCAATAGATACAGGCACACAAAAAATGCTGGTGTTATTTTTAATGTAATAAGTATAAATAGATGAAAATTATCATTTACAGATTTAAGCCAGTTTTAAATGTTCGCTTCAAATAAATCATGTTTTTTTTTTTTGCTTTTTTGTTATTATTTTCATGTTATGTTGTATTTAATTGAAAATTAAGATGTAGATAGCAGAGAGCCTTATTTGGTATTCAAACCCATTAACTGACAATGTCTGAAAAAAAAAAAAAAAAAAAAAAAAAAAAATGGGTTAATAAAATTATTAGGTTAGATTGGAGGATTTTAAGAAATTTCAATTTTTGTTCGGTTATTTTTATCTTTACATGGGACACCTAATAAGGATTACTCATTACTCTGTAAAACTAGTCAACCAGCTCAGTCTCACTAACCTTTTACCCTATACCATAGTGCTTTTAATAAATGATTTTGTTTGTAATTCAGTCAGTCAGTTATGTGTCATGCATGATACATGCTTAGGCAATCATGTATCTTTTGATACATGACTATCAAGGCAGATTTTTTCCTGCAGTAGGTTGCCATTTCTTTCTGCAGTAGACCAGTTGCCATCCAAGGCTATAGAACCCAGTTTATCCTGCTATTTACCCATAACTGGTGGGAGAAGAAGAGGTTTCAGACCTTTATACAAACTAATACAAAAAAAGCTACTTAGATAATTATTTAAAAATCATCCTTACCATGTTTATTCCGAATAATTTCCTTGTATAAACTGGAGCAAGTGTGGCTACAAAAGAGAAAAAAATAAAGTGTATATTAAATATATTAAAATGAAAAATTAAATTCATCTTTTATGAAAGATGCTAATTAAAGGAAAAATTAAAATATGAAAATTAAAGATATTAAAATGTGAAAAAAAAAAAAAAATTGTGAACAGAAGAATGGGAAAATGTGAAGGGGAAAGGTCCTAGTCATATTTCTTTAATTAGATATTTTTTTTTTTAATTTTTTTTTTATCCCATGAAAATGTGTTGTTCCAATCAACAACAAATACTAAAAAAAAAAAAAATCCACCCACTCCAAATTTATAGACAAATCCTACAGATGCATGCCGGGATTTCTTCTTAACAAATACAAATGGACAATCCTCAATCTCATTCCCCACACATTTTTGTTCTTTCTTGTCTTGAAGTCAAAACATATAACCACTTGACTGTATCCGATTTGCTTATGAACACAGTTTCTATTTTGTTTAATTTTACTTTGCTATTGTCTTATAGTCACCTTGCTTTGTACTATGTTGTTAATTTCTTGTATTGTTTTGCTCTTTTTTTTCTTATTTTTATTATTGGGAATCTTGTCAATTCCACTTAAAAATTTATTCAACAACATAAAAAAAAAACACCTGGATACATTGTTGTCTCATTTCAACAGAATATGTTCAGTAAAACATTTTTAGTGTATTTAAGTATGTAATGTTTAAAAATCAAGATATTACAAAATTACATTACAAAAGCACTCTAGCTTTAGTAGAAAACATTTACTGAATATAAAAAAAAAATAAGTTATATAAAAAGTACAGATGGACAAAGTAAGAAATCACAGAGAAAATATTCTACATGACTAGAACAATAAAGCGTTGCAAGAGAAAACAAAGGAGAAAACATTTTATTTTAAGACATTTTTATGTTTATACATTCTTTTTATAGATACAAATATTTAAGTAAATGCTCCGTTTATAATAAACAGTATTTAAACAACATTTACGGACATGAATGTCAGAGAAATTTTCACAGAAAATATTCGTCCTCCGACATGAGCAGACAAGAATGTACGTGAGAGATTCATGGAAGATTGAAGTTTAAATACAGTAAATTCGACCTTGCTAACCGAATGCTCATCTGTGGCCAAATCAGTAAAGGCACATCAAAGTAAATGACAGTTCCGTATAGGATACAGGTTCGAATCCTGTCGGAGAACAAATATTTTCTGTGAAAATTTCTCAGGAATTCAGGCCAGTAAATGTTGTTTAATACTGTTTATTATAAACAGAGCATTTACTTAAATATTTGTATCAATAAAAAGAATGTTAAACATAAAAGTCTTAAAATAATTGTCGGACTTTGTCTATTTCAACACATTATAAACCAAGCTACAACTGCAGCTGAACATCAAAACCCAGTAATGGAAAAACATTCAGTGATTCATTTATTTACACATTCAGACTGTTTTCCTCATCACATTTCAGCTGTTGTGACTTACAGCCTCCTTCAGGGAATTTCAAACTCAACCCTTTATTTAATCATCAAAGCCTAAAAACTCTTTATCAATACTGATGGTAACAATATCTCCAAATAATGCATTGTCTTCCATAATGCCATTTGCTAATGTCACGTTTAAAACAATTCATGATAATTTCAGTTATTATATTTTTACGTAGATTTATTCACCCACATTTGTAGTGGCAGGGTGCTTCATTTTCCTGTGGGTGTAAGGTCATGCTTTGGATCTCCCATCCACTTATTCCTACATGTTTTGCTTAAATGGTTTATTCACATACATGTCTAAAACTGGCAATTGGCTCATCAATCCACCAGGAATGACAGCAAATTGTTTTTCAATTCTCCCACCTTATTTTTTAATGATTTCACTTCCATGTGCCTGAAAATGGTCCCAATCCAGAAGAAATTCCTATTTATAGCTACAGTTTTATTCTCAAACTAGCAGCATGGCCCAGTGTTGCCCATGCATGATTCAAAAATCATACGACTCATACAGCAATTGCTATCACTTGACTTAAAATATTTTTGCCCTTCCTTACCTTTAAAGGAGTGCCCTTTGCCTTACTTCTTGCCTATATCACACTGAAAATTTTAATTAAATCTGTTACGAAAAAAGAACTAAACAAAATGAACACAAAACGATCAGCTTTAAAAAAGGACTCATAACTGGAAAAACCAAATGAAAAAAGAATGTTAACAACAAATACTTTTTCACACCCAACCCAGTTCTGCGGAATCAGAATCAACGTTGAGTTTAAGCAAGTGAATGAGCCAATTGGAGTAAAGTGTCATGCAGATTTAAATTTTTCCCACTTGTGACGAACGCAGCTATCGATTTTATTTTGCATGCTAGTTAACATTCGTGTCAGTCAGTTGTTGGTTCTCATGCTGGCCAATAGAATCTTCCTGCCTATTCGTGGTAGCCAGCTATTGGCTCTCACTCTGGCCAGTAGAAAATGGCCACAAACTATGCCGTGGAAGCATGTAAAAATCGATTATTTCCACTATCTATGGGAGTTGGGAAATGCAAAGTCAGTCTTGGTCTTCCCTCTAATTTGGAGCATGTACATGTAAATTTTGGTGCAAATCCGTCAAAAATTGCGGCCATGCATATGTTACACACACACACACACACACACACATCCTGCCTTTTATAGATAGAGATCATCTATCCACCATTTTGGATTTTTGTTTAGTTTTAATTATTCTTTTGACTATAAAAATAGTGACAGTTTTGTGGCATCAGCACAACAGACCAGAACTATAGTATTGTGTGTTTCTTTTTCATGGCTAATGTCTTTTTTTCTGTGATGGTTTTTAGATCTTTTGATACTCACAGCTAGGTCTGATTGTTCTCGTTCCACATGTTAAAATCATTGATTGAAGTAATCCAGTGACTTGACCCAAAGAGTTGTAAGTTCAATACCTAGCTACAGCAGAGGTGAACAAAAACTTGGAGAATTGAGTTACTAAAGGCAAATAACTGAAACATATCCAGAAATGGCATGGTACATGAAACTAGAACAATCTATACCAATGGACAAGGGTTCAGTTTGAAATTCCAGCATATATAACCTGAAGAAGGCCAGAGCAGACAACAGCCGAAACATTGTCAATATGACTATAAAGATGAGGAGGACAACAATGTAAATAAAGGCCATGTTTTTAGCTGAACTTAGTTGCTCTTCATGCTGTTGACAGACACATTTTTCCCCCAATAGGTCAAAAACCTTTGTTATTTGTTCCTGTTTAAAAAGAACCAGAAATCCAATTCTAAAGTCTACTTTGACTATATACTTCATGTCTCCCCCTGAACTGTGAAATTTTATTTACTAATTTTTTTTTTCTCCTTAATAGTAGAAGATAATTTTGCCTATTGTCCAGTTCACACACTACCCAATTTTTTGGAACAGGAGTAGAAGTTTATCCCTTGTTCCCTGTTTGAAATTGAATTTCTAGTTCTTTCTAAAGTATTTTTCCTTCTCTTTCACTCCAAGTAGCTCTTGTGTCTTAGTGGCAATATCTCCTTACTTGGGGGAAAACTGATTTAAAAAATATAGCCATAAGCCAAAACCTACAATAGTGTTTGAGGCCAAATTACAACCTACAATAGTGAATACTGGAGATAAAACAGGCTATGAGAGGCCTCAACTTGGCATACACAATGCAGAGCAAATTTGTTAGCTATTTTTTTTTTTTTTTTTCTAAAAGTGTATCTTATGCCTTCAAGTCTGATAAGTAATATTAATGTACATTAAGTTTAAAAATCACAAAAGCTTTAACTAATAGCATTCTTCACTTACAGTACCATTTAAAATTAGATTGCCATTTCCAGTTGTTTAACAAAGTATTAGAACTTATTGTTTTATATTTAAACAGATGAAAGCAATTTATCACAACAAAAATAGTGTATTTAATGGGAACATATAAATCCAGTTTTATGCAATGTTGATCGTCTTCAATCAATATATTCTTACAGACAGGAGATGAAGTATTCAAGATCCCACCCATTCTTGCTTTGCGTGGACAGTAAAAATAGAACAAAGGAATTTGACATTCAGCCAATGAATCTGGCAACTGAATTTATTCAAAGCATTCTTTTTTTTTTCTTTTTTTTTTTAAATTTCATTATTTACTTTGACTAGGGTCTTCATCTTGATTGTCACCATCATCTGAGAGAATCCATTTAGCTTTTCATTAACATAACTGATGCTAACCTCCAGTGGCTTCTTGGGCTAATGTTTTCTGCTGATATAGAATGGAAATATTACATTGAATCAATTGCTAGGTTTACTGCTAGGAAAGTTAGTTCATTTTGTTAGGCTAGACAATTTTTCTCACCTAAATCTATCTTACATATTTATAAGTCTACCAGTTGTCCTTGCTTTGAATATTGCTGCCACATATGGTCTGGTACTTTTGCTGCATATTTAAAGATCCTTGATAAAATCCAAAGAAAAATCTGCAATGTCAATGATCCTGACCTGGCATCTCGATTTCAGTCACTTTCCCCACCACCATAATGTAGCTTCCCTATGTCTTTTTTATAAATACTTTCATGGTAATTGTCCTAGTGATCTTTAGTCTAGGGTACCTAGACTATGAATTTAAGTGTAATACTAGATTGGCAGCATGGTCTTGTCATTTTACAATTAAAATGGCTAGATGTAACTTAAGTTCTAAACTAACAGTTTCTTTTCTCACACTTATTGCTTGTGGAACTCTTGTTCTGGCTTCTTGCTTTTCAGTCAAGTTTGATCTTCAAAAATTTAAATGTAATGTGTTCTTGATTTCTGTTCTTTTGTTCTTGGTCCTTAATTTTTATCTTTCTTATATTCTTTCACACTCAGTAACCCCTTGTGGCTTAGTGGTTTTATTGCTTTGCTTGGAATGTAATTATTAAAAACAAAAAGCAAAACAAAAAACATTACAGTCAATGTGCTCTCTGGCTTTCAAGTGCCTACTAAAATTTATACCTTTATTTTATTTTATTTATTTATTTTTTTTTCAACCTGGCGGTTGGCCAAAGGAACCAACATAATAGATTTACAAATAAAATTACTCTTACAATTAAAGACTGAATATCTAATAACAAAGTAGAAAATTATCTTTTTGAAGAAAAAAAAAATTCGGTTTCTTTTAAAATGCATTGCCTACCTTATTAATCAGTTAGCTGAACTTATGAGATGTTCCACTGACCATGCTTAAGGATATCTTATAATCAGTTAATTTTTCTACCCCCACTCCCGGAAGACTAGAAAAAATGAGAAGTCTACTTCTGTAGATTGAATAAAGGGTTCAGTTTGAAATTTCTGGAAGGTTACCAATTATGAAAGACACCAGAAAGCTGAAACAAAAAAAAAAAAAAAAATCCGACTTTTACATTTTGCAGCCATACAATTATTTTTCTAAACGAATGTGAATCATCAACATGCAGGAAATGCAAATACTTACTCTTTCAAGTAGATAACAATAGCTACAATCAACTTGAGAAATTCTGTAAACAGAACAACTGTGACAATGTTGTAGGTGAAGGTGTTTGATGAGGTCTTCGTCGATGTAACCAAGATACCTGTTAAACAAACAAGCAAAAGTTATTTGGCTTTAGCATCTTTGGTACAGTTTTCAGTTAAACTAAACTAAATATACATGATTTTCTAACAATTGGTGTCTTATTGACATTATTTGAGAGAGAAATAGAAGAATGAGGGAATAGAGAGAGAAAAGGAGGATAAAGAGAGAGAAGGTGGAGAGAAGAGAGTAAAAGAACTTTGTAGTTCTTGCAATTAAAGAAAGCTGTCAAGTAGGAATTTCAATTAGTAGAGATTGTTTAAAAATATTTCGAATTAATACTAATTGAACCAAGTGCAATACCTACAGCTTTGGTTAACTTATATCAACTGAAAAGTTTTACCAAAAAGTAATGTACTTTCATAATATTACCATTTCTATTGTTAGCATTATTTGTGAAGAGGATGTGGCCCATTTTGTATTACTTATAGACAAAGTATCTTTTTTTTATTATTGTTCTGAAGAATTTGATTAGTTTTTTTTTTTAAATACAAAAATAAAGACATCTTTAAACTTCCCAACTTCTTAAAGAAACAAACTTGGAATATTTTAATACAAAAGTTACAAATGCAAACTGAAAAGAAACATTTTTAAGATGATGCCAATATATTAGCTGAATTTATTTGATTAAATCAAAACCATTTGAAGCTTTTCAAATCACCAATTTAAAACTGTTCAAAAGGAAACTAATTCTTATTTGTTCAATGTGACAGTATCAGTGAATGATCATTTTGTTAAAGAAAAACTAAAACATTCATAAATATCTGAGTCAAAAGTATGCCTTGTACAATATAGTCTTTATTCTCTTAATTCTCAAAGCCAAATGGTAATCAGTTTCATTTCTGTACTTAGATGTTTTCTATAATATAAACAATGTTTGTGTAAAACGTTTAACAGAGAAAAGTAGAGCTTTTGAATCCGTCATATCCTGTCTGAACTCCAATGCTAACTCAAACGGTAGAGCACATTTCAACATCAATAGAATTTAATTTCATATGGGTCTGCACACCTACTTCTAGAATATCATCCAAAAATACCAGGGTCATAAAATATCTTTTCTGACCAATCAGTAAAGACTCATGCAGTTTTTACAGCACCCGATTCTGACCCACTGATCAACTATAAATCCAATACAATTTCCACCCACAAAAGACAAATCCAAATTGGCTGTCATTAGCAACTGGCCCCCAGAAAAAAAGCTTAACCAGGCCATCAGCAGCAACTTCCATCAAAAGTGATGCCTTCAGGGTCAGCGATAAAATCATCAGCAGAGACTAACTCTCGATTAGTACAGTGTGATAATGTGTGTTGATTTTCTCCACTTATCTGTCTCATCTACTACCTTGAATGAACTCTCAGTCTCCCATGATACCCAGGAACAAGCAAACTTTGTAAGACACAGAATAAAATTTTTTCTTATCTCAACCCCATCTTATCTCCCTTGATTGTTTTGTCACTTAGACTTGTTTTTGCTAATGGTAAGGCTGCCATTACGAACTTGTTACCCAACTTCCCACCTAGAACTGAATCTCTGTTGGGTGATATACATATAACCTCTTCTAAGGTTTCTGCTATCATCTCTAACCTGGATCCCCACAAAGTATGTGGACCCGACAGTATCCCTGTAATAGTCATTAAGAGGTGTGCTCCCAGACTGGCTCCTGTTTTCTTTAAACTGTATAATAAATGCCTTGCTGCCTCCTGTAAGTCAATATCTGTTGTTCCAGTTTTTAAGAACTCTTGTGAACCATCCAACCCATCTATCAGCCTATTAGTCTTCTACTTCTTTTTGGGAAGCTCTTAGAGGCCCTACTCAGTGCTGAATTGGTTAATCATCTCTCATTGCGGGGCCTTTTCTTGGGCAAGCAATATGACTTGTTTTTCCAGGTCAACTGCTAACGATAACTGCAGAAAGAGTTTATCATGCTTTAGATAAAAACAGTGAAGCCCAGGCTGTACCATTATATATCTCGAAAGCCTTTGACAGGGTCTGGCATTCGGGTCTTCTACACAAGCAGAAAAATTATGGTATTTCTGGGCACATTTGAGATGATCCAATTGTTCCTAACAAATCATGAAATGAAAGTTGTCCTGAATGTCCACTTGTCTAGATCCTTTTGTACTAACACAGATGCCCCCCAATCCTTTGTCCTACACCGTTTTTAATCTTCATTAATGACCTTCCCAATGACATCAGCTTTCAACTTGGCATCTACTCTGATGACACTAGCACTTAGTCCTGTCTTGATAGTAAAGTTGATCAGTTGGACAAGGTCAAAATCGCAGCTGGTGTACTCAAGACTGTCGTTTAATACCTCCAAAACTAAACTTCTCTCCATTAAACATCTGTGAGACTTCTCTCTGCCTTCCATCAGCATGGCTGATGCTATCCTCCAGGAAAGTGACTTGGTGCGCCTTCTCAGGATAACGTTCTTAGCTGACATGAAGTGGAAAGACTATATTGAATCCATTGCTAGGTCAGCTACCAAGAAAGTCGGTTCACTGTGTCAGGCGAGACAATTTTTCTCTGAAATCTATCTTGCACAAATATAAGTCTACAAATCACTTATGCTTGGAATAGTGCTGCCATATATAGTCCGGTGCCCCTGCTATTTACCTAGAGCACCTTGATAAGATCAAAAGAAGAATCAGCAATATTATTGGTCTTGATCTGTTGGTCCAGCTTCATTTACTTGCCCACCACAATAAGGTTGCCTCTATGCCTTTTTTTTTATAAATACCTTCATGGTAATTGTTCAGATGAGTTCGTCAGTATGGTATCTAGACTGTACGACTAAGTGTAGACTGGTGGCAAGCTCTTATCAATTTACAGTTGAGCTAGCTAAATGTAGTCACCGATTCTATGCTAACAGTTTCTTATCTCACAGTTATCACCTGTGGAACTCCCTCCTGACTCATGCTTTCCAGACAACTTTAATCTGCAAAAATTTAAGTGCAGTGTCAATTGTTATCTACTAACCTCTTGATTGCTCTTTTCTCTTCTCATTATTAATGTTTCTGTTCCTAATTCCTCCACACCCTGTAACCCCTTTTGTGCTAGTAGCTTCACTGCCTTGTTTGGAGTGATACCAATTTAAAAAAAAAAAAAATTGTTTAAATGAAGAAAAAAAATTGAGGGCATAAAACTTATGAAATCATGTCAGATGGTTGCTATATTTTTATAAGTGTAGTTGATGTTGTGTTGGAGTAGATATAAAAATTGAGAAAAAAAAAAAAACATGTTACAGCCCCCCACAAAATCATTTGAAGAAAAAAAAAAAAAAAAAAAAAATCAGAGTCCCACTAGAGGGTTATAAGTTTGGAATATATATATATATATATATAACCACTTCAACAAGAAAACCAAACAGGCAGCAAAAGGGAAAAAACATTGACAAATAGAAATATTTGTCATTGCTAAAATTTTCTTGACACAAACTTACAAATTTAAATGCAATATCAATCATTATCTTCTTAATTTGTGTTTTAGTGTATTTTTTCCTCATTCTATAACACTAACCCCCAGCCCCTGCCCACCTTGCATCTTTGTTGCTTTATTGCCTTGCTTGGGGTAAAATTATAAAATCAAAAAATTAATTTTGCTTAATTTAGATATATAGTAATTTTTTTTTCTTTTTTCATCATTTCACCTCCAACCAAGACAATAAAGCCACTAAGATGCAAGGGGCAACTGGGAGTGAATGAGAAGGAAAAATACTTTAGAATGAACTGGTAAACCCAATAATAAACAGGAAAGAAAGGGTGGAGGAGTGTGAACCAGATGATAGGTGAATCTATCTACTATTACAATACAACCATTTCACAAAAGCAAATTGCAGACAATTTTACATCAAAGTGCATTTAATGTTTAGAAATATCTTAGACTAAATTAATGCTAAATCTTGTTCCAAGAATTAGCAAAAAATAAATTAAAAAAAATGCAAACAGACAAAAAGCAAAAGAAAAAAAACCTTGAATCTTTTTCTTTAAAGCATACAAAGTATCATAACTAAAGACTTCATTTACCAACAGTAAACTGCTTTGATCAAGTTAAACAGAATTTAACAATCAGATTGTAAAGCTATGCATTTGAAGTGGGAAAAATAACAGTTGTACAGCTCAAATGTAAACAATTAATTTATCAACGTTCAAAGATTTACAGATAGATTCAATTGCTTGGCTGTCAAAAATCATTTGTATTCATCAAGTAATCTTCTAAGAAGAATATATTTTCTCAGGAAAATAGCTTATCACTGATAGGTTCCTTCTCTCTCAAATGCACACAAATCCATTGTTAATTATCATTTAATATTGTGAGGCACATTGGGATAGCAAAAAAATGCTTTCCAAAAGCTAAGCAAAATATTAAGAAACAGAAAAAAAATTTGTTAGAAGCATAGAAAAAAGTACTGAACTGTTATGCAATACCAGTCTTCCAGTGCTAGTGAATGCTGACACAATCTCATCACAAAATGAAGAGTGAAGCAACAGAAACGTGGTTCTACAGAAGGATGCTGAAAATACCATGTGAGCAATGGGAAGAAAAAGTGCATTTATATTTATCAGAAAGAGATAAATGACATTCATAGGGCACATAATAGGGAAAATTTGATACTCACAGGACAGATTGAAAGTAAGATGGATAGAGGAAAACAATGCATAACCTATCTCGTGAGATGGAGTAAATGGATGGCAGAACAGGGTTTAGGAGAGATAACAAAAAGAAAAAATTTATTAAGAACTACAAAGGACAGGAAATTGTGGAGAACCACGATCGATCACCCTTGTCTTGAAAAATACACAGTACATAAAAGAAAAAGGTTGATACAAGTCTTAAAATGAGAAGTTCTCATCAGAGAACATTTCAAATAATTATTTTTCAAGCTTATTTCTTGATTTCATTAGTGCTGCCTTCTTTCATGTGCCGTGTCCCTTCAGGATGTCGGCAACCATGGCCCTGCGCATCTTCCTGTCCCATGCAGCTCTTAATAAGTTTTTTTT